ATCTCAAAAGAGCTCAAAAGCATCCATGCAACTTTATTGTCAACACTACAACCAATTTATCACAGATGAAATATTGCAAGCCTCTTGCTAATCCATCACCATTTCCATGGCAAATGATCTCATGAGCTAAATTCCTTAGTTCCACCAGTTCAGACACTTGCACCTAAGACCTACACTGGGAGGAATCATTCTAATTCCCTTTGTATTCCATTATTAAGAAGAAAGTTCTGCTTGGACAGGTTACAAGAACCATTACATTGTGGAACAGATTCTCAAGAAGGCGTTTCCCCAATCACTACAATCCTCAAGTCGAGGGTTAACCATTATTTTTCCTATATCTCTATCTGTAAAAGGCAGGATGTGAGGATGTGTGTGTGTGTGTAAAAAATGCACGGCCGCAATTTTTGACGGATTTGCACCAAAATTTACATGCACATGCTCCAAGTTAGCGGGAAGCCCAAGACTGACTTTGCATTTCCCAACTCCCATCGATAGTGGAAATAACCGATTTTTTCATGCTTCTACGGCAGTTTTCATATAGTTTGCAGGCATTTTGTACTGGCCAAAGTGAGAGCCAATAGCTGGCTGCCACGAATAGACCAGAAAATTCTATTGGCCAGCATGAGAGCCAACAGCTGACTGACACGAATGTTAACTAGCATGCTAGCATGCAAAAAAAAATCAATAGCTGCATTTATCACAAGTGGGAAAAATTTAAATCTGCATGGCACTTTACTCCAATTGGGTCATTTGCTTGCTTAAACTCAACGTTGATTCTGATTCCGCAGAACTGGGTTGGGTGTGAAAAAGTATTTGTTGTTAACATTCTTTTTTCATTTGGTTTTTCCAGTTACGAGTCCTTTTTTAAAGCTGATCGTTTTGTGTTCATTTTGTTTAGTTCTTTTTTTTGTACCAGATTTAATGTTTAGTATAGAGCTTAGAAAAAAATCACAGTGTGAGATGTAGCAACACCAGCACAGCAAAGGGCACTCCTTTAAAGGCAAGGAAGGGAAAAATATTTTAAGTCAAGTGATAGCGATTGTTGTATGAGCCGTATGATTTTTGAATTAAGCAAGGGCAAAACCAGGTCATGCTGCTAGTAATCTCATAAACTGCACTTCTTAACTCTTCTACTGACACATATAACAATGTAATTCAGTAACTCTTTACCTTGAGTGACTTATGGGCTTTGTATTTGGGGAACATTGGTTAAGAAAACCATAGAACAACAACAACAAAAAAAAAAAACACTCTAAACTTGCATAAAGTCTTTTTTAAGAAAATACCTATTCAAATACTTTCTGAAAGTCTTGTCACCCATAAATAATATAATTTTCTATTTCAACACTCTGTGAGGTATTAACAAAGAGAGAGTTTCATATGAATGATACTAGAATACCCATCATTTGAAAGATGACATTCGGAGAGCCTTTGCAGCAATCAACAAAGCACAGCTTCATAAAATATTATACAGGACATGTTCCTGCATCATTTTGTTCCATGAAAATGAGGGTCAGTTGATATTTCTGAGATGAGGTATTATGTACACTATTTACATTATTTGGACTATAGTCCTCATCTTTGTTGTCATATTTATCACAATGTTTTGGCTGTTGTTCAGTTCGACATTCCAACCACCTGAGAAGGCCAGAGCGTACAACATCTGAAATGTAATAAATGACAATAAAAATGAGGGCAATAGTCCGAATAATGTAAATAGTTAAAATGTGGGTGTTCATATAGACCTTCTCGATGTGTGACAGCATCAATGAAAGGGAATAAACTGAATCCAGTACATGTGCTTTGTATTACTTATTGTTCTCATTACTTTTTGATAGTGGGTAACAAGACTTTCGGACCACCCTGTAGATGTATGCATATAAATAGGTTGGATTGCTGGCCAATGATAAGTGTCATCACCTTTTAGAATGCTTTAATAAATCCTGTGTTTGTCACCAGGATATCAGCAGTAGAGGTGGCGTGAAGACATTAGGTTTATAATACCCAGAAATTCATACCTAGATGTCTTCAAGGACACATGGCACAGTGGATAAAGGTGTTGGTTAAATCCAGTGACAGGACCCAAAGAGTGTGAGTTCAATACTTGGTTAAGGCAGTCTGTAGCAGTACCTTGGGTTAAGAACAAAAATGATGAAGATAACAGCCTGTAAGATGTTTGGAAAACAAATAAATTGTTATTTGAATTTTGTGTTTCATCACATCTATTCCTTTTGTAAAAGTTCATTTTTTCAGACATTTTATTGAGGTTCATAATTTGGGTCTGCTGCCTAAGCCTACATAGTGGCGATCCAGAGACGTTAGATAAAGAATTAGTCAGTATAAGTAGTACCTCACAACGTAACAACTACCCTGGGTACATGGAAGCAGCCCCAAAAAAACTGGGATAGGCGGGTACAAGAGGAGGAGGACAACAACACTCAGAAAACAGTCTTCCTGCCTTATGTGAAGGGGTTATCAGAGAAAATACAAAGGATCTACGGTCCATATAACATCAGGACAACATGACGACACAGATATCTCTCCTGAGTAAGACCCCTGCCCAGAGGAGAACATGACTGTGTGTGCTATCCCATGCAGCTGCGGAAAGAAATATAAAGGAGAGACAGGCCGCCCCTCAAGGTAAGGCTTCAAGAACACCAGAAAGCTGTAACACGAGGGGAAGTGGAAAAATCAGGCGTGGCTGACCACATATGGAGAGAGAAGGGAGATCACTGCCCTCTGTGGGATCAGGTTGAGATCATTGACAAGGAACACTATTAGAAAATTTGTAAAATTAAGGAATCAGCACATATGGCCACAAAAATCCCTGAGCCGACCAAGTATAGAAATAAATACAATATGGGGAACCAGTAATAAGGAGTGCCAGAGAAAAGCAATGATAACAACAAAGTTGCAATATGAGCTCTGGTAAAACATGCATGCATGGTAACAGCAAAATTGCAATATGAGAACTGGTAAAATGGTTGCTGAAGACATTAGGTTTATAAACCCTGAAAATACCTAGATTCTTCAAGGACACATGGCACAGTGGATAAAGGTGTTGGTTAGATCCAGTGACAGGACCAAAAGAGTGTGAGTTCAATACTTGGTTAAGGCAGTCTGTAGCAGTGCCTTGGGTTAAAAAAAAAATGATGAAGATAACAGCATGTGAGATGTTTGGAAAACAAATAAATTGTTATTTGAATTTTGTGTTTCATCACATCTATTCCTTTTGTAAAAGTTCATATTTCTTTTGATTAAACTGAAGTCATCAAATTTTTAACAATTTCTTATATTAATAAACTATCACTATTTCCATGAAAAGTGTTCATTGTTCAAACATTCCTGGGTTCTCCCATAGACCCTCCATACCATGCTCATTGTAGCAAACCATTCTCATTCTCTCCATATTCCAGACTATTATTTTTTAGAGGAAGTGCATCTCTACTTAGACTTCCAGAGGTTGACCTTTGAGGTCAGATGGAAGACAAAATAAGGAAGTTGATTTTAGCTGAGTAAGCGAGGGACTGACACATATAGAGAAAGTGAGTTGAGTCTTAACCATCAAACAATGTAGATGTGTTTTCTTTTGTATATGAAATGGCTCCCCAGTGAGGGGGACTGACCCCCACTGGATAGATAGAACATGTCGACATGAATGTTAATAAAACGGTTAAGTTAAAATTCCTTGTGTTGCAGTTCTTTCATCTCTGGAACTAAAACGACTAGTGATCACTGGCAACGAGAAAAGAATTATCGAATTGACGCTGTCACCCAATACCACCCTCACCAGAGGGCTGTACTACATACGTTCCACTCAAGCAGCTTTGTCCCATGAACTGCTGCTTTGTGGAACCAACTCCCAAGAGGATGATTTCCTGATCATAACAATCTTAACCTGTTCAAGTCTAGGGTTAACCATTATATCCCCATAAACTGTACTTCTTATTTTGTAACCCTCTGCCTTGAGTTGCTCTTGAGCCTTGTACAGGGCAAATATCATTGTGAAAAAAAATCTCTAAAATTAGTGTAAAGAACTGTGAAAGACTTTTTATACAAGCTATCCAGAAATCAGGTGACGTCATCTCATTAAATATTCAAAATGGTTGCTGGATGAGTGATTCAAATTTAGACTTTCCAACCTTAGAACATTCTTCTTGTTTTAGAATTTAGGTTCGACAAATTAATTTCCCTGGATTTAACTAGGGATATTGTTGACACAAAAATATTCTTAGAACATCCTATGCTGTTTTCACATATATATTTTTTTAATCTGACCCAAACTTTAAAAAAAGAGAAGAAAACCATTCAAGAATAACTTAATGCTTCAAACAAATCAAGTTTAAAATATGTCATGAAATCTTAACAAATTTGAAGCTTTTCATTATGGTCATTTTTTTAACATTTTATTTTTTGCAATCTGTTTTGCTATTTACATTATTTACATTATTTACATTTGAACTAATATCCTCATCTCTCTTGTCATTGTCACAATGTTTTGGCCATTGTGCTCTCCAGCCTTCTTCAGGTGTCTGGTGTGCTATGTAACCATCAAGGAATTTCCAACTGAATCCTACAAGAATAGATTATTCTCATTATGCTGATCATGTCTAAGAATATCTTGTCTAGCTTTTAATAATACTCAGTTATTGCTCATCCTGTTTTCAATGAGTCCAATTCTGTACTCCCAGCCCAGGGATTGAATTCATACTTACTCTGGCAGTGAAGACTTGGATTCAGTGGAAACAGGGTGAGCAATAACTGAGGAGTATTAAAAACAAGAACTTGATGAGATATTAAATTAAATAAAGGATTTGGTTCAATATTCCTTGAAGGCTACCTGCATCAAAGAGACATCTGAAGAAAGCTGGAGGGTACAATGGCCGAAACGTTGTGATAACAACAACAAAGATGAAGACAATAGTCTGAATGTAATGATAACTCTGCATCCAACAAATTCAGAAATGTTTTACGACTTTCATCTTTTATCTAGAAGACTTGCAACCACATTATGTTGAAACACCTGTTCCCATACAATCACCAAAGTTAAGCAATGTCGAACCTGGTCAGTACCTAGATGGGTGACTGTTTAGGAATATCAGGTGCTGTAAGCTTGAATATGCAGGTGGTGTAATGGATAATGGCTTGAAATTAATCAGAGAGCCAAGTTCCAATTCCCATTGGGTTCATTATATTCACTTATATGAAAATACCCTTGGAAAATGTATGAATTAACCTTTTCTCCCCATAACTATGGGTTAATTAGTAAGACTTGTATCACTAAACCTTTATTATCTGAAAAAAATTTTTGGAATCTAAAAAAGTGTTCTGGCTTTAAATAACATGCAAAAGGTTGATAAGCCATAAAAAATGAATCAGTCAAATCAAATAACACCATGTAGAACTTGCTATAAATGTACCACTTCACTACTAACAATCTCTCTCCAAACATGCCATCAGTTCTGTGTTGTTCTTGTCTCAATCTGTGAGGGTAGTTTTTGCCAATAGCCATCCAAATTTTGTACCTTCTTGCTTCTTTATGTCGTGTGAGTGTCAAATTCTCCAAACTCTCATTCCTCACCATGTGTCCCCAAAAATTTCAACTGTCCTTGTCATTCCAATTTTCCTTAAAACTTCCTTGTTGCTTCCATGCTCCAACCATGGCATTCTCAGCATTCTCCTGTAGAACCACCTCAAGTCTCCTTTTCATTTGTAAAGAAATTGTCTGGCATTCACCAACATATGGGAAGATTGATATTACATAGCAGTTCAACTTTGTTTCTAACAAATTCTTCAGTTTTATGGACATATGTTGAAACAGCGATATTTGTACAATTACCAAAGTTAAACAACATTGAGCTTTGTCAGTACCTAGATGAGTGACCACATTGGAATACCAGTTTCTGTAAGCTTGGACATAAGGGTGGTGTAAGGGTGGATAATGACTTTGAATTGGAAATCCGAGAACTGAGTTCCAATTCCAGCCAGGTTGGTTATATTCACTTATGAGCAAATACCCTTAGGAAAGGTATGAAACCATTCCTTTTTTCTCCTCTGTACTAATTAGTAGGACTTGTAGCAGTAAATCCTTATCAACTCCGAAAGTTTCTTACAATCTAAAAATATTTTCTGACTTTAAATTAACTGCAAAGGGTTGATAAGCAGTAAAAAACAAATAATTCAGAATAAAAAAAAACAAACAAATTCTTCATGCTCTTTTGTACATTGTTTAGATATTAGAAAGCATATTTTGCTATTCCAATGGACCTTTGGATTTCTGTGTCACATTTTGCATTGTCTGTTAAAAAACTTTCTAGATTGTTAAATTTCCATAATTGCTTGATTTTGAAATCTTCAATTTATTGCTCACACCACTTTCTTTATATTTTAAATTACAAAATCTTGACTTTCCCATGTATTTGTTTTAATTATTTAAATGTGTTTTATGGTTTATAAGAAACTTAAACTTGACTCAAAAGTGTTTAGTAATTTTGGTAGTAATACTTTTTTATACAAGAAAATCTTGAACTGTAAGAATAAGGAAGCCATTCTACCCATCTCTCAGTTCTTGAATTCTGAATCTGAAATTTTCAACATATCAATGATCTTTTTTGATAAGAGTTAATTGAAAAGCTGGTTACATAAAAGAAATCATATTACTTTTTTCTTTTTAACTGTAATTTTTAACATGTCTCCATTCTTTTATGCTCTGTTTAATTTTGACACCATCAAAAAATGTCCCCCAAAACCTGCATCTGTCCTTGGTTAAAATGAGAAATATTTGGTCTTTTATTAAAATCCTTAAAACAAAGAATCATCATCATCATCATCATCATTATCAGCAGCAGCAGCAGCAACAGAAAGGGAGACAAGCCTCTTACTGCCACTACTTAGAACACATCCATTAAACTGAGAAGCAGGAGTATAATATCTTCAGAAATTTGTCAGCCAAGGATGGTGAGTTCAATCCTTGGTAAGACCACAAGAGTCAGCATAATTAACACCCTCATTCATCAGAGGGGAGTTCAAAGCAGAAGAAACAGAAGCTCCTCCAGGATGATTTGTTGGCGGTGGCTCTCAGGAGTTCTGGCATTGTTCATGTCTGTCCACTCTTTGATGTTGTCTCACCAGCTTTTATGTTGTCATCCCCATTAGCATCCACCTTGAACAGTGCCTTATATGATGATCTTGCAGAAGCTATTATGTCATGTGACATGGCCAAACAATGCCATCTTCCAATGCTTAAGAGTGACAGGGAGAGATTCCTGTTGGCCCATGGAACTTTTAATGTTGCTCTGTACATAGTCATTGGTTTTGTGCTCTCAGTAGGAGATGCAGAGGAGATTTGTTCTTAAATACCGGGATTCTTTTTCCTGCCTCAGTTAGGAGTGTCCAAATCTCACACCCATAGAGGAGCTGATGTTGCTCTTCCACATCCTTTCCAATCTGGCCTTTGCAGCCATGGCTGTGGTGATCTGTGTGCAGATTTCTGAATTGCAGGTTGCTATCTTTTGACAGGGCTGCTCCCAAGTATTTGAAGCAGGGCACTTTCTCCAGTGGTTCACCATCCATGAGGACACTGGCACTGATATTGCTTGTGCTATTCACCATTATGTTGGATTTCTTTGTGTTGCATGTCATTCCATAAGTGCTGACTCTTTTAGCAAGTTTTAACAATAATTTAACATAATACAGCATCTATTTTTACATGCCGTGTCCATTCATGGCTCTCCATAACTTCAAATTCTTATTAGTTCTAAGCAATGTTTGTTCGGCTTAATATAACACCCAGTCTTTGTTCTAGCATCTGTTTGCACAAGCTCATTAGGTAAGTTATTTGCTGTTTCCCTCTGGTGTTCTGTATGTTTTCCATTCCATAAAATGTCCATGAAAACCAAAGTGCTTCTAATGCTAAAACCTGGTTCCAGTTGACCATCGTCCACTATTCAATGACAACACATAATGTCCAGTATAACATTGAGTTAGTTTCGACAAATCAAAGCATTACAAGCTGAATAGTAAAAAAAAAATCAATAGAAATTTATTGATTTTTTTCAACCTTTTGATGGAATTCTCCATTCTGTTATGAATATAGAATGATAAAAGATGGAATTACATAAAAAGGCACAACACGTGGAAATTGTTTACAGGTAAAAATAAACATTTTCTTTGATCTACAGAAAGAATTCTTTGAGAAAATCGATCAAAACATTAAATCTAAAGAGTCATAGTTTAGAGGTATTTATCAGTAACATCAATTATTTTAAATAATAAAAGGAGTCCTCAATAAGATATAGTTTAAGAAAAATAAATTTATTCAAAAGATTAAAAATGTAAAGAAATAAATTTAAATATTTTGATGCTGCATTCAATGGCTTGTGCAAATGGACAGCAGAAAAAGGACTGGAAGAGATAGTAAGGTGATAAATATTGCTAAGATATATAAAGGATAAGAAGTTGTGGAGAAGCTTGATCAACATACTTAACTATCTTGTTTGAATGGATAGCAGAAAAGGGCAGGTAGCTATAGTAAGGTGATAAATATTGCTAATATATACAAAGGAGAGGAAGTTGTGAAGAGCCATGATCAACTTAATGAGCTTGCGCAAATGAATAGCAGAAAAGAGACTGGAACAGATAGTAAGGAGATAAACATTGCTAAGATATAAAAAGGATAGGATGTTGATGACATAGCACATAAAAGAACTTTTTTTTTATTATATATATATATATATATATATATAATGAAAAACAAGTTCTTTTATTTATATATATATATATATATATATATATATATATATATATATATATATATATATGTTAATGCTATAAAACGGGCATAATAAAGTTGTATATAAAAAACAACAAACAGGGAGAAGAAGAGCAAATATAATAAAATAATACACCATCAAATATAAATCAAAACAATCACAACAATAAACAAGAAAATAACTACAAAGTGGCTCTCTTGTTTTCAAGCCTTACTATTCAGAGATAATCAGGGACAAATGTGTAATTGGGTGCACAACATTTAAAAAACAATAAATTAAGAACAACCAGGGAATCAGCAGAGGAAGAAATATAATTACACTCCAGTTTCATTCAGGCCCAGCAGCCATTCCTTTTACTTACAAAGGGAAGGCTACCTGGACTTAATGTATAAAGGAAAGAGTACTGAACTGCAATGTAATATCAGTGAACCTATATGGCAGTGAATGCCAGACAATTTCCTCATTGATAAAGTGGAAACCTGAAGTAACAGAAATCTGATGATATAGATACTGAGAATAACATGGAAAGTGTATATGAGCAACTGGGAAGTTTTAAGGAAAATGGAAACACAAAGGATGATTATACTCAGAATCAGAAAGAAACAGTTGAAATTATTACAGATATAAAGCTTGTCACTTAACTGATTGGTGTTACTTTCAGCATCCTAACTCCAGAGTTTTGTATATATATATATATATATATATATATTCTTGAGTCTATACCACAATTTGTTTCCATTTTTAATCAATTTCCTGATTTCTTTGTTGAATTTTTGCATTCCAGTAATTATTTTTTGTTTGTTTATTTTTTTCATATGTGTTGGTCTTATTGAGTAGTGAGTTAATATTTTCTATGTATTTATTCTTGTTTATGATTACAATACACAGGGATGTGGATTTCCTTATTTCTTGCTAGGTTCTTTAGTGCATTTAGGTTCCTAAGCACTAAAAAAGCCAGAACTGCTAGAATGCAACTCCACAAAAAGTGTGTTATAACAAAGCTGGAAATGATTCAACTACACCAAAATATCAAACAAATGAGTGACAATCAAAACAACAAACTGAGACAAAAACTCACCAACCGATGCATCAACAGCAAGTGGGAATATATCAAAAAGCAAATCTAATAGAAAATTTATTGGATATAACGCTTTCCAATACAGAACAAGAAGCCCTAAGATTCGGTTTAGAATTTACCACTGGATTCCACCAAGGAGATAAAGTAGACATTATAGTAAAAGATCACAAGCAAAATGATGTTGAGTTCACCAAAGGTTTCATTTAAAACATAATCACTGCTACTATAGGAACCACCAACAAAAATACATTACTAAAGAGACA